TCCATCCATCCATCCATCCATCCATCCATCCATCCATCCATCCATCCTTCTACTGATGCTCTGGGACACACTGTCTTAGGAGCTTGGGATCAGTAGCAAGTCACCAAGCTCAAGTTCACACTCTGCTCTCACAACACTTCCTCTAAATCAAACGGCTGACTTTTGAGCATAAGGTCTAGCCAAGAAGCAGGAAAATGAGGGTAGAGCAGGAGCCGAGAGACCTCTGGGGGGGTCTGGTTCAGGGATGAGGAGTTGAGAAGTTGGATGAAGGTGTTAGAGGCATCTCTTCCTGCTCTGAGTCACAAGAGGCAGAGGCTGTCCTCTCCCAGACAAGTTGATGTGTGAGGGTTAGAGAAAGAGGGCGGAGTCCGCACTCAGTTTTCTAACCATGTGCAAAAAATGTGCAGCTGTGTCCCCTACCACCCTAGAGCTGCTGCTGTCCTGATAACTGAGACGAGGGGCGGGGGCCTATTTTCAAAGGTTGTAGTCCGTAGCTGTTTTCAGGCCAGTTTTTGGCAGAGGTTCGTTTACTTCTTGATGGCCAGGAAGCAAAGAGAAAGGGGCTAGGTCCCGATATTCCCTTTAAGGACACACCCACCTAGTGACCTCACTTCCTCTTCCAATGCTCCACTTCCTAATAGCACCACAGCCTTCAGCACAAGAGCCTCTAGAAGATCTTAAAGACCCAAACGCTAGCAAGCAGACTCATGCTTGGGTGTGTGAGGGCAGCCTCTGTCAAGGGCAGCTATGATGCCAGGGTAGTGTGGTATGCTACTGTCTCTTCCTTTCCTTCTAGAACTAAGTAAAGGTCAAGGGAGTTTGGGCAGCTATTTTCCAGTTCTGGGTGTATCCAGGGACAGCAAGCAACACTGCTGGTTCCTTCTGGGCTGTTAAGCCCATTTCCTTGTCCCTTCCTAAGCTCTCTTGGGCCAGCTGAGGTCTTGGAGTACGGTTGAGAGCCAGCAGGCTGGAGCTTGGGGGTAAGGACAGGCTGCAGTTGTAAGTCTCTGCCACAGGCAGTGCTGCCCCCCCATCCCTGGCTGCGTGCACAGCTTTGTCTGCTTGCTTTGCACACCTTTAAACAAATGTACTAGGGGCTGGAGAGATAACTCAGTGGGCAAAGAGTTTGCTGTGTAACAGTGAAGACCCAAGTTCAGATCCCAGAATTCCCCCCCCCGCCCCCGCCCCGCCACCGTGAAGCCAGGCACAGTAGTGTGCACCCATCACTTCAAAGCTGCAGGGAGAACGGGAATGGGGGTGGGGACAGGAGAATCCCTGAAGTTCACAGATTCACAGGCCTGGTATTCCCGTCAATACACAAGAGAACCGGTACCTAACAACGTGGAAGATGAAGACTGACACAGGGGTTGTCCTCTGACCTCCACAGGCACATGCCTGCTCTCACAATCACATATGCACACAAGATCTTTTCAAAGTTGTAAACGCTGGTCTTCCAATCAAAATATTAGCAGCGAGCACTGCTATAGGCTACACTGCTGCCAACAACAATAACGACGACAACAATAACAATAACAAGAGGGTAAAAGTCAAAACCCAGATCCCAGCCTTCTGTTTGCTCCAAGGGAAACGGCCATGCTGCACCGGCAAACCCTGGTGATCAGGCTCCTGGAGAGATCATTAGGGATTCCAGGGGCGACAAGGGACCTGAAAGTCTTCCTTATTGTTCACTGGGGTCACACAACCCCAAGTGGTAGCAGTACTGAGGTTTCTGACCGGAGGGCGCCTGTCTAACGCTGCTATGGCTATAGGTATTGCCAGAGGGGCCCACAGAGTTCTCGGTTATGTGTGAAGATGTTGTTCTATTTTATGTGCACATGTGAGTGCCTGCATGTGTGCCACGTGCATACCTGGAGCTTCCAGAAGCCGGAAGAGGATGCTGGATTTCCTAGAGCAGGGGTCCTCAACCTTCCCAACGCTGTGACCCTTTTAATACGGTTCCTCATGCAGTGACCCCCACAAAACTATTTCATTGCTACTTCACAACTGTCATTTTGCTACTGTAATGAACTGTAATGTAAATATCTGATACGCAGGATGGTCTTAGGTGACCCCTGTGAAAGGGCCGTTCGACTCCCCCAAAGGGGTCGTGACCCAGAGGTTGAGAACGACTGTCCTAGAACCAGAGTTACAGGTGGCTGTGAGCTGCATGATATGGGCGCTGGGAGCTGAATCTGGGTCTTCCGCAGGAGCAGCAAATGTTCTTGACCCTCTCTTTTGCTTTTAATAGTGGCAGCGGGTGGGGTATGGGTAAGGGCAGAAGCTGAAAACCTTCATTTACCCCTAACAAGACCACAGGCAGGCACGTCTTTTCTCATTCAGGAACAGGAGACTTATCGCCTTGGTGCCTCAAGTGGAAATAGTGAAGTCAGGGCTTAAGTTTCTGTCTCCCAGCTATGGGACTCTGGGCCACTGTGGGAAAAAGATCACCAGGTGGTCATTTCTCGTGGATGCCAAGAGTGACCAATAGGTGGCGGCAGAGCCCTGCAGGAACAAAGGCTTGCTATTTCTTTAGGCAAGCTGCTGGGTCTACAGACCCCTCTCTAGCAACTGACTCCTGCACCCTTATACCGTGGCCTGCAGCCGCCACAACGGGAGGGTGGATTTGATGGAAACCTGCCTGTGTCTAGGGCCAAGCTCTTCCCATCCTGGGCTCCCTCTAAGCAACCAGGCTTCCCATCCTTCAGACAGGAGAGATGCTGTCCAGTGGTTCAGGAACAAAGGGGACAAAGACCCTGGCCGTGAATGATGCATGCACACTGTGAGGGGTGTGTGCTCTGCCTGGCAAAGCTGACTCATGCATGGTGTTCTGAAGGGCAGGCCTTAAAAAATAAAAACCAAGACATGCCCTCCACAACCTGAATATTCAGTTTCTCTTGGTAATCTGCAGCCCTTTCCTCACAAGTGCCCACGGGAGTTTCAGTTAGCTGACCCTTCCCACAGGTCCCTGGCCCTGTGGGCAAGAGACTATGGCAAGTCTCCATACCGAAGGCCTGGCCTATTCTGGGGAAGGAAAGCCCTGGGTGGGCTCGCTGCATGCTTGCCCTGTGGCCTGCAGTAGAATCTTGACATGCTTCTTTACGTCCCATGACTGCTAGGGACCTGAGCTGAACCAGGGATGGGCAGACGGGAGGCCCTGGAATCCACCTGCTCCAGGAGCGGAAAGTCTGCAGTGGCCCCGGCAGCCCACATTTCCTTGAGGCTTGTTCGTGGGGACCTTAGGGAGAGAAATTTGTAGACTGCCAACTCCTCTGCTAGGCCAGCTTTGGTTTGGTTTCTTGGCTTTTATTCAAGGCTGACATAGCTTCCAGGTGGCGAGAAGTCACTGCGATGACTCTGAGGAGCTGCTTCCTTAGCTCCTGTCAGTTCACAGAGAACCAGTCGTGAATGGCAGTCCCTGCCAGCATGGCATTCACAGAGGGCATCAGACGCCTCTTAGTGGTAAGTTAGGCTCCTTCCCCTGGGAGCCCTCCATTATCTTCCAAGTAGGAATAATTTACTCCTTCTTCAGAAGTGTCCCCACAGAAGGCGAGGGAGCCTCCAGGGAGGCCTGCTACATCCTGTCTGTGTAGCCACTGTCTGTCAACATGTGTGCCTTCTTCTCTGTGTGGGGTATTTGATCTCCCGTCCCCTACATTTGGTTCAGGAAACTGATAAGTGTTTAGCAAGACAGTGAGTGAAAGATAACACCATAGGTTGAACATTCCTAGATCAGGAAAAGCAAAAGACTTCCAAAACATGAAAAATTTGAGCACTAACATGATGTCACAAGCGGAAAATTCCACACATGACCTCACGTGATGGGTTGTAATCAAAACATACATTATTAAGAATACTGTATGTTCTCTAAAATTGCCCTTAGACTATGTGGACGATATGCATATAAATATACATTAACTGCCCCATAAAACATTTCTAATTTGACATTTCTAGAGCCCGCGGCCCCTTATGATTATGAGCAGAAGGACAATGACACTCTGTCACCAGGGTTGGTATGAGAACCCAAATCATCTGCTTAAACGTCCATCATTTGGTGCTTTCCAAGGGCATGCCATCTCCCTAGTGGGCTTGATAAATGCATACAACTCCCTGGTGGCAAGCTTTAGGAGGTGCCTTGGCACAGTGCTTCCAGAGGGCTCCTCACTCTGCACAGAGCCCAGCTGCTTCCGGAGGCCTGTCTTTAACCTTGTCCTGTACAGTCCACACCACGGCTCATTTGCCAAGTACTGTTTCACGCTCACCAGCACCCTAGGAAACACCCATCAGTGCCACAGGAAGGTGGACAGGGAAGGAGAGGAAGGCCATTTCTTTCCCCTCTAAGTGACACCAAGCGCCTTCTCTCAGGCATATAGTTTGTCAGGCTGCTTCTGGCCCTGTCTCCCTACTCTCTGTCTTTCCCACTTGTCTAAGGTCACCAGTTTCAGAAACAAAGATGTTAGGAGACCCAGTATCTGCTGTGTCCTACGGTCTGAGGCTGGCCTTGTCTCTCTTCATCCTCCACTGTGAGCCTTCTGCTCTGGCTGGTGCCCTTGCCACTGTCTGTCCCAACCCAGTCCGCCCACTTGTCTTCTCTGTACATACACGCTTCTCCCTTCACCATCCCACTCAAATGGCTCCTTCTCTAGGGACTTTTTACACATTCACCTCTGCTTCTGAAATTGCTGCATCAAGCTGGATATGGTGTGCACCTTTAATCCCAGCACTCCGTGGCAGAGGCAGGCAGGGAATTTGAGGCTAGACTGGTCTCCACAGTGAGTTTCAGGTCAGCTGGGGTGATATAGCAGGCTCTTGTTTCAAAAAAGATTTTTTTTTTATTCTTGAAAGTCACCTGAAAGATTCTTTAAACATAGATTTTATATCCATTACTTCTGGGGTAAGGATTGGAGATGAATATTTCTGTATTTTAAACCATGTCACTAGGTGTTGCCACCTCAGGGACCACACTCTGCTCTGAGAGTCACTGTTGCCTCTTCCATTGCTTTCTGTCTTCCATCTCTGACTCCACAGTGTGTGTGTGTGTGTGTGTGTGTGTGTGTGTGTGAGAGAGAGAGAGAGAGAGAGAGAGAGAGAGAGAGAGAGAGAGAGAGAGAGAAAGACTTAACTCAGGGACTGCGTGTTCAATAAACACCCTTCTACTGAGCTATACCCTCCAACCAAAACTGTTGTTTATTTATTTTTTTGAGGCAGGGTAGCCCTTGCTGTCCTGGAACTCACTATGTAGACCAGGCTGACCGTGAACTCACAAAGATCCACACATGCTCTTTGGCCTCTGGCGCACTGGAGTTAAAGGCACTTGCTACCACAACCAGCTCACACATGCTGGCTATAACAAGGGTTTTCAAATTGGGTGTGCTGGAGGAGAACCAGAAGCCTGTGCCTCCCAGCTCTGCAGGGCAGTTCCACCCCTGTGTACTAACAGTCTTAAGTTCAATACAAAGTTTCAGCTGAAGAAAAGATTTAGTTAACTGGAGAAGCTCTTAAGTCCCCCGGGGGAGCGTGGCCTCCTTTGTGCACAGCCTTCGAGTTAGGCTCTTTCTGCTGTTGGTTTTATGTGGCTCCAGGGCAACTCAGACGGGCATTGAAAGGCCTGGTGGTTATTTAAAAATATCATAAAATATAACCAACTTTTAATCAGTATTTGGTGGAGGTTGAATGTCCATTACCTGCAGTGATCGCGACCAAAACTAGTTTTTCAATTCGCATATAGCTTATGAACTGACTGTCCTCCATCTAAAATGCACACAGTTAGGGACTGACGACTGCCCTCCATTTAAGATGCTTTATCAAGGGAAAGCTTTTGAGCATCATCGGATAATTCTGGAGAATTATTTCAGATGAGGTTGCTCACTCTGTTCTTCACGAAAGGGCAGAAAACATGAAGCGTGAATGGGCGTGTCTGCGTGAGATGTCACTTAGGTACGGTCGAGGGGCGTGAGGAGGCTGAGTGTGGGCTGAAGGTTGCACACGGGGCAACCGTTGCACAGCAGCTATGCAGAAAACTGGGGGTGCATCCTGCAGCTAAGGTGTCCCCCAAAGGTGTATGCGTTGCAGGCTTGGCCCAGAGTCTGTGGTGCTCCTGAGAGGTAGTGGAACCTTCAAGAAGTAGGACCTATATGGGAAGTCCTCTGTTCACTGAGGGGCACAGCCTGAGGGGAATCATGGGATTTTGGTCCCCTCTTCTCTCTGTGCATTTCAGCTGCCAGGAGGTGAGCAGCTTGCTCCAATACCTGCTTCCACCATGATGGGAGAGTCAAAGTGGTGAAGCCACATGACCACAGACTGAAATCTCTTAAAACTGTGAGCCAAGAGAAACCTTCTCTCTTTATAAGTTGATCATCTCTGGCATTTTGTCACAGCTACAGCAAGCTGCCCAACTACAGGGTGACTGTTAAAAAGATTTCAAGTCTAGGAAACACTGTCTTTCAGAACGGTTTGAAAGTCACTTGAACACAGCCCCGTTCCCTGGGTGCTCCCGAATTTCCTCTTCTTGAATTGCATGCTAATCGCCCTGCTTTCTTTCTTAAACTAATAAAAGATTAGGATGACATTTTGAAAAGGGCACCTCATTAAGCAGCCTCATCTCCATTGGAGCACCTGGCTCCAAGCATAGTAGCCAGCTGGCCATTTATCTTATGGTAATGAGATGTCATCCCCGTACACGGGCCTGCCTTCCGGTTCTGCTTCTGCCTCCAGCAGCCCATTTCTCCCTCCCACCTGCCACTCTGTGAGCAGTATGCGCGTCTGTGTGGGACAGCGGCCTCAGAGTCACCTAGGGTCTACTCTGAAGGAACGCATCCTGGGGCTGGGCGCGGCGTCTTTTACCTGTACACGGTGGTTGGAGGGGCGCTCGGGCTGTCATACACCAGCCTCACATGGCCCTGGTATAGCTCCAGCGCCAAGGGGTCATTGTCTCCCTTGTAAAGGAGGATGCCGTTGTCCTTGTCAGTGGCCACCTGCGGAGAGCAACCAGCCTGTGTGAGTTAGGACCTACCCCAGTTCCAGTCTCTCCTGATTAACTCCCAGCACCCTCTTCAGGTGGTTGTCTCAGAGCTGAGACCAGATTGGAATTCAGATCCATATCTCTTTCCCCATCTGGCCTGTCTATTCCAGGAGGCAAGAGGTAAGCTTATACCGCCTATGTTAACTGAGCAAACTGCTTCAACAAATATGCATTGAGCATGTACTATGTGTCAAGAAGCCAAGACATCAAAGTCACTGACCGCTCAAGGATGCTCAAGTCCCTTATATAAAAGGGTATCTGCACTGAATCTATGCACCCCTTCCACGTGATTTCCACCCTCTCTAGATGCATGACAATACCCGACCCAGGGAAAATGCTATGGTAATAGCGTAATGCACATGTAGGGGTTACCGTCACGCTCAACTTTTTGAGATTGTGATGTAACCCTATCATCTATTAATTCATGCCGGAGAACTGTGCAACAGACGTATAAAAATGTTCACAAATAGCCGGGTGGTGGTGGCACACACCTTTAATCCTAGCACTTGGGAGGCAGAGGCAGGTAGAGCTCTGTGAGTTTGGGGCCAGCCTGGTCTACAGAGCAAGTTCCAGGACACCCAGAATTCTGTTACACAGAAAAAAAAAACCGTCTTGAAAAAAAATCGCAAATAATAACATCTCATAATGTTTTAAGCAAGTTTCCGATTTTCTCTGGCTCATATTCATAGCTGTCCTTAGCTACACATGGCCTGAGGGCTGTGGGCTGGACATACTTGGCAGAAGCTAAGTGTGTCTCTACATGTTCAAGACAGTGGCAAATGTCTTTACAATGTTTTTGATCTGTGCCTGGTTGAGGGTGCAGGGGTGGAAACTGGGCTGGCTGTACCTGCACACCAGGAGGCCCCAACTCTAATCTGCTTCTCCTACTAGTGGTATACAGTGTGAACCAACAAAATACCTGCCCCTTGAAGCTTGTCTCTCTGCATGGAATTTCATCTACTAATGTTGTAAACAAAGGCTAAAGACCAGAGCTTCACTCAGTGTATCCCATGAAGCAGACAGCGATGTGTTCAGAACTGGCTGGGGATGTTAATGATACCATTTTCTGGGCTTCACACCTGAGCCAGGTAGCGTGAGTCTTTGTGGGCAAACCTAAGTTTAAGAGCTCCGCACAGGTCCTGCTGAGGCACCTGGGTAAACACAGGCACCGGGAGAAGCCGCACTGCTGGCCAGCTGGCTGCTGGCTGAGTCTCCACAGGCCTGGATGTGGAGCAGGTACATCTGATACCTCATTTGGGTGTCTGGAGCACTGGGGGCTGTTCTGGTGGGGAGGAGTGAAGGAAGGAAGCAGGAGGGTGGGGGAAGTTAGAGCTCACAATTTGTGCTAGCAAGGATACCAACGGTACAGTCCTGCCCCCCCCCCCCGCCCCCCGACAGGCTCTGCAGGGAGAGTATCTTCTTTTGTATCCTTCAGGTCCACAGTCTGGAGCAGACCCTGCTGTGTGTAGGGCTGCAGAGATCAGATTGTGCTGAGTGAGCTTCATGCGGAAGCTCCAGATTAAACCTTGGTGAAGGTCACAGAGCTGGGCGGCAGCACCCAGCAGTGTCTGGGCTACGAATTGGCCTGCAATGTCCAATTGCACCCCTGGGGCTAAGGTGGTGACAAAACCACTTGGTTTATTCTCTTTTCCATTCCCTGAATGTGTCCTGCTTGCCTGTGCCTCTAGGTCTTTGCAAAGGCAGCTCTCTCAGCCGGCTCCTCCCCAGCCTTTGTTCTTTACTGTGTCACTCCGGGCCTTATCCCTCTCCCCGGAATTTAGGGAAAGTGTCACATAAGCTCCAGAACCACTTAGCTCTTCCGGCCTGATTCCTCCCTATAGGCCAGGAGCATGTCCTCCTCGGTGCTCCCTTAGCTCCCAGCTTCTCTTTCTCAGTCATCCTGGTCCCCATTGTCCAGCACAGGACAGTTGTACAAGTGACTTTTAATGAATGAACGAGGGGATAACAAGGAGCTGCTGCCTGCTATGAGACTCACCAGGAGGTTTCTTACAGACTGCTCTAGGCTGGTCCAGCCCCTGCAAAACCGAGCATTGTCTTTGATGTTCTGGGAGAAGGGGCAGGCTTGCTAAGGGATCTGGGAAACCCCAGCTTTACTCTAAGGGGTGTCACACTGGGGTCCTTCCTAGGATGGTAGATGGGAGGGGAAGAACATACCTGCAGGGAGATGTTGGCCTGCGGCCTGACCTTGGCAGAGGCCAGTTCCACGTAGGAGTCCTTGCCTACGAAGTTCACAGTGATGAGCTTCTCACACCTGGGCCCAGCGAAGCCCGGGGGACAGCGGCAAGTGGGCTCCTGCTGCACCACAATGCATTGCGCCCCGTTCTGACACTCATACTGGTCGCAGGGACTGGTCTGGAGCAGAACCATGGGTGGCGGGTGCTCACAGAAGAGCCCACTGGAAGGGGGGCAGGGGAGAGAGGAGACAACCGTAGTTAAGGGGAGAGCTGAAGTGGGAAGTTCCATTCTTGCCTCTAGCTGGAGCGGATCCTCTATGTTTCAGTTTCTCTCTCTTTTTTCAAAAGCTGACTCAGTGCAGGCAAAATAGCCCAGCCCAGTGGGTAAAAGTGCTTGCTGCCAAGCCTGATGACGTGGGTTCAATTCCCGGGACCCATGGTAGAAGAGAGAACTGATTGACTTTCACAGATTGCCCTTTGATAGCTATAAGTGTATGTGCGTTTGCGTGCATCTGTGCGTGCGTGCCTCTCTCTCTCTCTCTCTCTCTCTCTCTCTCTCTCTCTCTCTCTGTGTGTGTGTGTGTGTGTGTGTGTGCATACACACACAATAAATAAACATAAAATTTTAAAAAGTAACTGAATCAGGTCAGGTTGAAGATTTTGGAGTCATCAGAACGGACTGGGGTGAATGTGTAAAGGGCACAGACTGCGTGAATTAACAGAGTATGGCACAGCCAGCCAGTAGGGACATTCTGCCTCACAAAGGAAGGCGTTCTGACACAGTGACCAGAGATGGGCCTTGAGAGTGCTGAGCTAAGTGAAAGGAGCCAGCCATAAAGATCAGCACCATTTGACTGTTCAAGCAGTCGGGCTCATAGCAACAGAACTTGGAGTGAGGTTGTTAGTGTTACAGGGGGAGGATGGGGATTTGTTGATGGGGCCAGGGTAGAGAGCTTTGGAGATGGAGATCAACACTGCAGCTGAGCTAGGGTGAATATTTTATTAAAATGATTTATTTAAACAAATTAATTTGAATTACGTGTACGTGTCTGTGTGTGTCTATGTGCATGCGAGTGTCTGCCCAGAGGTCAGAGCGGTTGGATCCTTCCAAAGCTGGAGATATAAGTGGTTGTGAACTGTTTGACGTGGGTGCTGGGACCCCAACTTGGGTCCTCTGGAAGAGCAGTGAGCACTGTTTCCTGTCCAAATTTGACTATCTTTAACACCACTGAACTGTCTCCCGAGGTTCAGATGAAGGCTGGGGAGAACGCACAGCCCCTTCTTGGCTCACTGGCTGTGTCAAAGTTCATCGCTTTATTTTGTATTCATGCTACCCAGTCTGATTTCAGTCTCTTGTTATGATCTGCTGGCCTGTCACCTGGGTACCCTGTCCCTTTAAGAGACAAGCCCCGCCCATTCCCAACACTCCTCCCCTTCCACCTAGGCAAGTGGATCTCTCTGCTCCCCTCCTTCAGCCTGCTCTCTGTTCTCTCTCTTTTCTGACTGCTGCCTGTGACCCCCTTTCCTCTCTTCTCATCCCTCCTTCTGTCCCTCCTCCCTCCCTCCCTCCCTCCCTTTTCCCTTTCTTCTCCTTTCCTTTCTATAACCCACTAAATAAACTCTATACCCAAACTCTCTCTCTGCATGGCGTATCTATCAGTCTCTCACCCGCTGTGGTCTCCCACCTGCCGAACCACCGAGCATTGAGACCCACCACTACCCTGCTGAGACCTCAGGTGACTACTGTGGCCCCTTGTGGGACCTACCTCCCCCCATCTTTAAAAGAATAACAGTCTCTGCTTCCTAGTTTCCTGCAACCCTATGATTAACCCTTCCAGTCCAGGATGAGGGGGACCTGGAGCCCTGGCTTCTTTTTCTACACATTCCACAGACATCTAACCACCTGACCAATGTCTTTTACTTGACATTTTCTTCTAGCACTAGTTCCAGAGGTGGACCCCAAACACTCTACTGAATTACCACATCTTTTCATTGTCTTTTATCATTTGGTGCTAGGGACTGGACCTGGTCTCACATGCACCATGAGTGTTAAGCTCCACCCTCAGCCCTCACGTCTTTTTCTGCCATTAAGATGCTACAAATGTTTTTGGTTTCCAGCCACCCCACTGGGAGCTGGGCTCCAAGATGGTTGGCATCTTCAGTTAGGTAGCATCACACATGTGTGACAATGTGAGTGTGGACTCAAGTCTTAACTTCTACATGGAGTTGCCCTGGTTCGCTGCAGGGAGCCCTGTATCCCTGCTGCCTTCTCCCAGGCTACCTTCCTTCTGAGGTGCTCTTCTGTCATACCTGAAGCCTTGGGGGCAGATGCATGAGTAGCCGTTGACTGCATCCACACACTGGGCTCCATGGCGGCACTTGTGAGCTGTACAGTCGTCATTGTCTGTCTCACACAGCTTCCCACTGTAACCAGGGACACATTCACACCTGGAACACAGGCAGAGAGACGCTTGCTCAGGGTCTGCCAACTTGCCGGCAGGTGCTCTGGTGCCTCCCCTTGCCAAACCTCTCTCTCTGTACTCTAGTTCTGGTGTGGGAGAATTGTCTGTATTCTGTCAATCATGTTTTAAATAAATGCTGATTGGCCAGGCAGGAAGTATAGGCAGGAAAATCAGACAGGAAGTAGAGGTGGAGCAAAGAGAACAGGAGTATTCTGGGAAGCAGGAAGCTCCCTCCACAGTTCCGCCCAGACCACCAGAGAGGAAAGATGTAAGTTGCCATGCTGAGAAAGGTACTGAGCCGTGTGGCTAATATAAGATAAAAATAATGGGCTAACATAAGTTGTAAGAGCTAATAAATAGCCTGAGCTAATGGGCCAATCAGTTTATAATCTTATGGAGTCCTCTGTGTGATTTCTCTTTGGGGCATGCCAGTTGTGGGGTACCGGGTGGGACAGAAACCCCAATAAGCAATCCCCTTCATGTTACATAGTTCCTGAAGGGTTCACCAGGCCCGCCTCTGCTACTGGGCTCCACTCATGGGGCGTGGCCTTTGCTCTCAGAGTCAAGGTCTATCTGTTGTGTGGAGCGGACACGTTTTGTTTTCAGAACTGGGCTGGGAACACGGGAGGCGTCACAACAGATCTGGGTCATATCTGGTTCCTTCTCCCTTCGTGTCAGACATCTGACTGAGCACCTTCAAGGAGCATCTCATCAGATCCCCAGGGGCCTGCAGAGGAGGCTCTATCCAAAGCAGCCTTCAGAGAACACTCAAGCCACCTCCCCAAAGCCACCTCGAGTGACAGCTACATTTACTGTGACAGATGCTATCTAGGTGTCCTGGCCGCTCATGGCGACCTCTCTATCTTGCACGTTCTCTCAAAGTCACTGCTCCTTGTTAAGCTCTACTACTTTGGAGTGCAGTGAACACTGACTGTCACAGTGTTGTGATGGTGCAGTATAGAGACGATGACCAAGGCTGAAGGCTGTGATGGCAACTGTACTACCCTTGCCTTTGTTTCATGGCTTGTTCAGACAGGCAAACTAGGGAAGGATTAAAAGCTCTTCTTTCCCAGAGGACAGGATGGAAGCAGCTGCCCTTGAGAAGGCCCCAGTTCAACTGGTCCAGCCTTCCCCAGAGAGCGGTGGGTCCACAGCCCTACCATAATTCTCTAGCACCCAAACGAAGCCTGTATGTGGCCAGACCCATGTGTCTGTGGCTCATTTGTTTGAGGTCACACAAAACCGAAATCCCTGCCTAGAAATAGACATGAGAGTACCTAGGCCTGAGACAGCCCTACAAATAACACATCGACACAGTGTCCACTTGTCTCTCTCTCTCTCCTGAAAGGCCTGTGTGTATCAGCTCAGTTCTTCCGGGCAGAGTAAAAAAAAAATCAAAATGCCATCTCTCCAAGGCAAAGGGAGAGGCGGCACAGGCAGGAGGTGCAAGGCAAGCAAGAGCTCTGAATTCTTAGCTTGTACCCTCAGGACCTGACTCTAAGAGAGAGAGAGAGAGAGAGAGAGAGAGAGAGAGAGAGAGAGAGAGA